CATTGCCTCACCTTCCAATGCTTCAAATTTGATGTTTGTTATGTGGTTACTTGATGTTTACTATACTTAGTATGCGGAGTTGTTTTCTGTTTAAGGATATTTCTCTGTAAGGGAAACAATGCTGCTAGGTTTTATATAGGTCTGTTATGGATTAAGAGACAAGAGTTTTAAATGATCTAGCTTGAAAGATTTGTCTTTTGGTGTTTGGTTTATGTGTATCTATAGGGTATATGGAGAAGATATAAATTTATCATGATTCGTTATTAATGCAATGATCTCTCAAATTTACAGAGGTTGTGGAATATTTCTTCGGCTAAGTTCCTCAAAACATATACTGGTCATGAGAACTGCAAGTATTCCGTCTCCTCTGCGTTCTCTGTCACAAATGGAAAGCGGATCGTGAGTGGATCCGAGGACAAGTGTGTATACATGTGGGAGCTTAACTCGAGGAAATTGCTTCAGAAACTTGAGGGGCATACTGAGCCTGTCATGAGTGTGGCTTGCCACCCGACAGAGAACTTGATCGCATCAGGCTCACTCGACAAGTCTATAAGAATTTGGACACAGAAGAAACAATGAAACAAGTCTCTCTCTTCATAAGCCATCCATCTAGGTATGTGTATACATACCATCTTGTTCATGCTGTAATCATCCATTGCTCACTTATTACATGAACCTTGTAAGATTGATTCTAGCTTCATTATGTCAAAATCCAGTTTTGTCTGGTGTAGGGGGGGAAGTGTGAGGCAGTTGAAAAAGTTCTTGGTGTGACTTAGAACTATTTTTGTAGGTTTTAAAGGCAAATACAAACTCTTTGAATCCTGCAAATGCAAAGGAACTTGAGAGAACGAGCTCAAATTCATCGTAGGCTTTCTCTTTTCGATTGTATCTACCAATCTGTTGTCCATGCTTCTCTGTGTTCCCAATAATACAATTGGTTTAAAAGAATTTTTGTTCATCATATTGATGGGTATAGCTCGTGGGTCAAAGTACATATATATGACTGACTATATGTTTATAATGTATGGTAGTTTGGTTGGGCCATGATGATGAAGCTTATGGTCCCCTGGTCCTGTCCCATTTTTTCTCATTTTCTCACTTTTGGTGTAAAGTCTATTTATTTTTTTCTTTCAAATTTTGAAATGGACCACCTGAAATTTTGAACCCACTCTCTTATTTCAATCTCAAAACCAAAACAAAAAACAAAAAGATGACTTTGTTCTGTCTTTTTGTTACACCAGTGGGCTGCTTTTACAGCGTGTCTTTCTGTTTACATGATACAACAGAAAGCAACAGAAGAAGCACTTCCTATAGACCGAGTCATGTTTGTGTCTCTCCCAAAACAGACAAAGATCAAAATCTAGCTTTAGTTTTTGAGATATATATGCTTCTAAGGTAAAAAAAAATACCCTAAAAGAGTAAAAATTTAAGACAAGATTGTGATAGTCGATAGGTCATAATCTTGTAGAAGAGAATAGCCATTGAGAAGAGAGTAGTCGATGAGTCGAAATCAGAGGAATCATAGTTGCCATTAGATTATTACATTCTTTACAACAAATTTAGGTTCATCTATGATTCACCTAATTAACCCAAACGAATAATTTAGGTTCATGTGTTTTTTTTTTTTTATAATTTACACAACAAAAAGTAGTAAGGTCTAACATTTTATTTGTTGTAGTGCTAACATAATCTTTCTGTCAAGTTGTTCTACCGTTTCTCCTTCCTCGCGAGTTTTATATTGTTCTGCCCATCGAACAGCCATTCTGTTTTCGTTGTCATAATTTGCTTACTCTTTTTCTCAGACAAGTCCAATCCAGAAACCGAAGAAATTGATGCAAATTCGGTTTTCATAGTCAGTCAAATTCGGACGCTAAACCCACAACAATTCATCTTCCTCTTCTCCTATAAACCCTAATTTCAAAACCAAAATTGACTTGCAGAGACAAGGATGCCGACTCCCCAGAAAAAGGAAGAAGTAATAAGGGAAGTGACCCAAGAAGAAAAGATTTTCGCTAAGAATTTCAATATCGACGATTACCCCGACATCCCTCCCGGACTTCCTCCACATCTCCAACTCCAGCGAACTCACGTCGTCTGTAAAGAAGACGCTCCTATTC